TCTCATGCCGACAGCCATACATTTCTTTGTAAATTTTGCCGACTTTTAAACGCTGTTTCTCCTTGACTTTTCATCGAATCATGCTCAAACCTGGTAAACATACTAATTTCATACTGTTCTTTCCAGTGGTGGTAATAGTTTTTCGATATTTGCTCAATTTCTAATAGCTGTGTTATCCGCGAAGTGGACTATTGAAGGGGATAAATTACAAAGGGCACAACAAACTTTAGCAATTTTATCAATTGGMGARGAAGTTTCACCAGCTTTAGCAGTTATAGTGTCCACGACTAAAATACTTTGTAAAATTATATACTTGCGCCTTACTAGGCCGATAACACGCTCAACATGGATGCGGRCATTTGCTATTTTTCTCGTTTGTTCAACTTCTAATGCTGACAGCTGTGTCTTTCCACGTGTGAATGCAGGAATTTTAAGGCTTGCACCATAAAGACCTACACTATCAGCAATATCAAAACCCCTGTCAGCMAAGACCAAATCCCCTGGGGTTAAATTTTCTAATATTCCACAATTTTCAGTTAAATGTTTATCACTAACCCTCCCTCCCCAGGCTTTAGAAATAARTGAAACAACTCCTTGTGGAGTTATGCCAATCAAAACGTTTACCGTGTTATGGTGTTTGTAATTTGACCAAGTAATAGCTCTAGCTATGAGACTGGATGGCCTGYTTATAAAAACTTCAAAGCAGTCGATTATAACTGACACCCTGGTTCCAAAATTCTGTTTGAAAACAGCTGRCATAGTTTTTTGTAGGTTTTCTCTTTCAGGCCACAGAATTAAAAAATCTAACCAACACAATCCAACACATCAATCCATTTGTCAAACACTCTACATGCTGTAGATCTAGACACTCCAAATCTATAACTCAGGTCTTCAAAAGCCATGTTCAGGCGTAGGCGCATAAGTACTAATATCAGTTCTTGAAACTTTGTGAGTGAATTAACAGAGCTTGAATAGATAAATTTGCCACATAATGACAATATTTGTTGTAACACCAAGAAACTTGGAAGTCCAGTATAGAACTTAGTTTTTTCTTCATTACTCTGAAAACTGCTTTCAGTTAAATCAGTTTYCAACAATTTTTTCTTTAGTTCCAGTAATTCGCAAGTCATGTCTCGGTTGCACTGCTCCAGTTGTAGTAYTTGTAACACAGTGAGTTCTGTCTGACAACTAACTTCTGTCACAGTGAGTTCTGTCTGACAACTAACTCCTGACTCTTCCTGGGTCTCTGCAAGGGTTTCAGGCTCAATTCCACTTGACTCTGGTACGTCTGTTCAACAAAAAGGGATTACGAGTAAGAATAAAATAAAAATATYGCTTTTCTGGTTACTTTTATAAACCTGTTTTCATTGAAAAGTAGAATCGCTAAATTTTACCTGGCAATGTTGCCGCTGCATGCTGTTCTTGTGCRGAGCTCTCCAAACTAGCCAAAGTTTGCGCAGCTTCAATTCGGGCTTTCTTTGCCGATCTTTCTGTTATTCTTTTACTTCTGGAAACTGCCATATCAATATCCTTTTCCTGGATCTGGCCATGTCCTAGTTTATGAGTCGGAGCCCAGTCGGGATCCGTTCTGGCGCGAAAGGACGTAGGCTGTCCTACAAGACGAAAGGCAAAGTGTTAGTGCGTAAAAGCTAAAAGCTCAGATCGTCGACAAGAAAAGTAGATTTAATAAGCAAATAACTCTTACCAGATATGAAGTTGTCACCACAAACGCGTGTGTAATTAACTTTTTCGTCTGTCAAGTCTTTTCGATTGATGTTTTTAAGCCAAAGCGCGCGGCGTTCTCTTGACAAGTCTTCATCTCTTTTGTCGCCGTTTTTAACGATTTTCGGAATTCTGAAGAATCTCTTTTTACTATCACGAGTAGCATTATTACCGCAATTGTATACGGCACACAATGTGGGCATTATCTCTCTTTAAAGGTATTAAAAATCAAATAAAAGCACGAAGCGTAGAGATCGATCACACGTGAACGGCCGCCATCTTGGTTGTTGTTNTTGTAACACAGTGAGTTCTGTCTGACAACTAACTTCTGTCACAGTGAGTTCTGTCTGACAACTAACTCCTGACTCTTCCTGGGTCTCTGCAAGGGTTTCAGGCTCAATTCCACTTGACTCTGGTACGTCTGTTCAACAAAAAGGGATTACGAGTAAGAATAAAATAAAAATATYGCTTTTCTGGTTACTTTTATAAACCTGTTTTCATTGAAAAGTAGAATCGCTAAATTTTACCTGGCAATGTTGCCGCTGCATGCTGTTCTTGTGCRGAGCTCTCCAAACTAGCCAAAGTTTGCGCAGCTTCAATTCGGGCTTTCTTTGCCGATCTTTCTGTTATTCTTTTACTTCTGGAAACTGCCATATCAATATCCTTTTCCTGGATCTGGCCATGTCCTAGTTTATGAGTCGGAGCCCAGTCGGGATCCGTTCTGGCGCGAAAGGACGTAGGCTGTCCTACAAGACGAAAGGCAAAGTGTTAGTGCGTAAAAGCTAAAAGCTCAGATCGTCGACAAGAAAAGTAGATTTAATAAGCAAATAACTCTTACCAGATATGAAGTKGTCACCACAAACGCGTGTGTAATTARCTTTTTCGTCTGTCAAGTCTTTTCGATTGATGTTTTTAAGCCAAAGCGCGCGGCGTTCTCTTGACAAGTCTTCATCTCTTTTGTCGCCGTTTTTAACGATTTTCGGAATTCTGAAGAATCTCTTTTTACTATCACGAGTAGCATTATTACCGCAATTGTATACGGCACACAATGTGGGCATTATCTCTCTTTAAAGGTATTAAAAATCAAATAAAAGCACGAAGCGTAGAGATCGATCACACGTGAACGGCCGCCATCTTGGTTGTTGTTATCATCCAACATGGCGGATTTCCGGTTTGGAAAAATTGTGTGACGTCACATGCACACGAAGAATTGGGAATATACGTCGAAGAACGAAGTAAGTCAGGAATGCTTWAAACACTTTAAACGTTTAATATCCTTCGCTCCATTGGAAGAAGCGGCAAACTAAAATAAGTGTACGTTAAACTCAGGGACAATCCTACAGTAACTTCCAGAGCGAAGGTTAACGCAATAGAAACCATAACTTGTCAGACAGTTCAAGATATTGCCGTCCACATGCAACATTCCAAAACGCAAGAGAAAGACGACCCAATTAGCAATACACCGGCACATGCTAGTGAAATTGAAGATGAGCTCAGTGTTCACGATAWATCGATGGASCAARATGTTGATAGCACAAGTTCAGAGGTAAAGCTTTAGCCATGGAGCGCCGATATAGTAAAGAATAATGAACATCTGCATGTGTGGTTCAACGTATTATCTGACTATGCTTTTTATGGTAATGCCAACTTACTGCATATTGATTGTCTCTCATAATTTAGGACACAAGTAAATCCAAAGCAAAGGTTGGAAACAAGAGAATAAACATGATACACCTAATTGTTCTTTCGGAACTTTTGATTATCTTTAATTACCTTTAAACAACGCCTCGTACGTGCGATAATAGATCAGGACTAATCACTTTAATATTTGATTGTTCATTCTCCAATGTCATGCGCACTTGGACTCTGTTTGCTTAAGGGAATTTCGTAATCGATAATTAGGTGCGGATGACATCGACTTTAACAGTTTCATATTTTCAAATAACTTTCTTGTTTCCCTTTCCAAGTTTCTCATAATGTTTAGTTTTTCTTATATTTTTCATATTGTACTTTTATTAGGGTCAGTAGTTGATTTAACGTCATAAATCTTAGATATTATGACTTGCGGGAAATACGCCCAGTTATGTAAATATAGTCTTACATAGAGTGACGTATCACTAGCATAAAAGGGCTAGTTAACCTAGTTCTGGGGAAGTTTTTGTAAGGACCTTTTAAGTGCAATAAACCTGTTGTGAGCCTACTTGAGTCGTCACTTGGAGTACCTCCCGTATTGCTAAAAGCGAGTGCCTCAACACAACCCAAGACCCAGTTTACAGTGGGAAAAGACCATTTTACACCATCACCAAGTTTGCTACACCACTAACCCTCCATCTTCGATGCCTGAATTGACCTGACACGCACCTGTAGACTTTTAGGTCACCAATGTAGTGCTCARCACTTACTCTGTAGCTAGATACAAGTTCGTTAAAGATACGCATGTTGGCCGTGAGACGTCTACCACCACGCCTTGAGAAAGGGACCAGTAGTGGATATCCTGTTGGATAGCCACTATCAGCTAAAATATAGCTACCYCTAGGCAGTGGCAGAGCGCGGTTGTGTCCTATACTGGGCATCATAGCATAACTGTCGGAGTCAGTTAAGTGACCTTGAAATCCTGCTTGACCGTAGGTAAAGTATCCATTGACGTCTACTATGACCTGCCAGTTAACAAAATGGCAGCCACGATCTCGACGGTAATAGAGCCTTTGCAAGTTACCTTGCGGTCTATTGATGCGGATAGGAGAGGCATCAATAATTCCAACAACATCTGGAAAGTCATGCAAAGTGCCTCTCAAACTGTTCCACATTCGGGACGAATGCCAGGCAATGTAGAGGTTCTCATAATGTATGAGCGTTATCATGAGAATGATATGAACATGTTCTGCGGCCGTAGTTGAACTCACTCCAAACCTACTTCCAAGACTTGAAAAGGTGGGATATGTTCTCAACCAAATGAAAAACATCAGAATACGGTCGCGAGTGCTCAAAGCAAATGGTCTTGTTTGCCGTAAACGATACCTTGGATTTCGAGAATCTCGTACAAACCGTTCTACGTCTACACCAATCCTCTGGACAATTCTTTGTAGACT